AACCCTAACCCTAACCCTAACCCTAACTAACCCTAACCCTAACCCTAACCCTAACCCTAACCCTAACTAACCCTAACCCTACTAACCCTAACTAACCCTAACCCTAACCCTAACCCTAACTAACCCTAACCCTAAGCCGCAGCGCACCGTCACGGACCGCGCGTGCGGGCTAACAAGCCGCAGCGCCTGCTTGCTAGCAAGCCGCCGCGCGCGGTCACCGACCGCGCATGCGGGCTAGCAAGCCGCTGCACGCCGTCACCGACCGCGCATGCGGGCTAGCATGCCGCTGCGCGCGGTCACTGACCGCGGGTGCGGGCTAGCAAGCCGCAACGCACCGTCACAGACCGCGCGCACTGACCGCGGGTGCGTGCTAGCAAGCTGCCGCGCGCGGTCACCGACCGCGCGTGTGTGCTAGCATGCCGCCGCGTGCGGTCACTTACCGCGGGTGCGTACTAGCATGCCGCCGCGCGCGGTCACGGACCGCGCATGCGGGCTAGCAAGCCGCCGCGCACGGTCACTGACCGCGCGTGCGGGCTAACAAGCCATAGCGCCTGCTTGCTAGCAAGCCGACGCGCGCGGTCACCGACCGCGCATGCGGGCTAGCAAGCCGCCGCGCATGCATGCTAGCAAGCTGCTGCGCGCGGGTGCTAGCAAGCCGCAGCGCGCCGTCACCGACCGCGCGCGGGTGCTAGCGAGCCACCGCGCGCCATCACTGGCCGCGCGTGTACACTCACGCACCGTCGCAGACCGCCCCCCGGCGCATGTGTCCTGCTGCACCTCCACCCACGTCCGTTCCCAATCGGGAAGGTGGTTCCCACCGCTGGCCAGCGCTACGCCCAATCGGGAAGGAGTTTCCCAGCGCTAGGCCAACGCTACCGTCGCATGCCCTCGCTCATAACCTAACCCTAACCTAACCCTAACCCACAGTGCTTGTTATCTCGGCGCAACCTCCGGTGCAGCCGTTGATTTTATAATCACTCGGCGCACTTGCCTTATTATTTTTTTCGATTTAAAAAACTCGGCGCATTCGCATTTCCCACGGTAAAGCGGTTCATAAATCGGGCAAAAATGCGTGCCGTATGGAGGTAACCTGGGGCGATTTTTGGAGATAGTTACTGACCCCAGAGATATTGTATTGGGCTCACAAACTGCCTTGCACGGTGTCTATCATAAACATTTTATTGGCGGCTGCGCTGTGATTCAAAATCTGTGGGGATGGTTCCTGACCACTGATATCTTGCTAATCTATGCATGTAGGCTGTAATCAACCAAATCTGAGATGGGCGGAAAACAGCCTGTTTTCCACCCTGGGGCATGGATAGGGATTTTTGGAGGATGATAATGACCCAAGTTGATAGACCCACTCTGTCCAATCCTCAATTCCATGTATTCAGTAAATCGGCCGTAGCGGCCGAAGGAACATTCCCACGGTCGTGGCAGTGTGATTTTCGGATTCCCACGATAATTCTGCACAGATTTAGGTACCCGACGGAATTGAGCCTCAATTCCGTCCAAACACAAGGATAGGGACAGGTGGAGACGCTACTATACAGCGGATCTGGTTCGGACGTTCCTCGGTCGTTTTACTCACTATGGGTGCGACTGAGGTACGTTATTCATGGACTCATGGGATGTTTATTAATGCTTTGTATTGTAGTCTTATGCCCTGCGCGGTCATCTAGTCATCTAGTCTTAATACATGGGTCATGTATGACAAGGCTAAGGTTGCGTTGAAGGTGGTGGACGACACGATGGGGTGGACGTATGACAGAGAGGACGGGATGCACGGTTTGTCGGGATCATGAAATGTGACGCGCGCGAGTGCAGCTTGACTGGCGGCTTTGTATATGACTTATCGTACTTGCTCACGTATGATCTTGTCGACACTCACCGTACTGAGCTTCCATGTATTATGCAGACCTCTTGCCGTCATGTTCGTGCATGTCATACCGAAGCCACACCGATGATTTCATAGATCTTGCGGGTCCTTATGCACGGCGATATGGCTGCAATTGCAGACCCAGTCAAACGAAACTAGTCACTACGGCTGCGTGCTGCCTGTGTTTTGTTTTGAGTAGTTGTCCTGAGAGTACTGGGGTACGCTCTTGGATGGTTGCCCTTCGTTCGTCTACAACGATCCAAAGCGTTAATCGAACCCCGTCGTGCGCATGGTAATAAGAACCTACTCGATGACTAGGCAGAGTTGGTTGCGGTGCGGCATTACCTTTGCCTTCGTCTTCTCCGTCCATTGATTTGTGCTTCAGATGGTCGTTCTGGTCCCCAGCCGTGTTGTCCTTGATCGACGCGGAACCGGATGATGCCGGAGAAGAACGAGCATCCTTGGAAGTGCACTGTCGAACCAAGGAACGGTGTCAACTCGGTTGAAGTTTGTTGATCGTCCCTCGAAAGACTCACGGCGCTGGTGCTAAATTTTCTCGACGTTCCACTGCCTGTCACACCGCGACCACCGTCCTATCCATGTCGTTCAGTCGCGAAGGTCCCCAGGCGCAGAAGGGACGGCGCACCTGGTTTTGCTTTAGATATCCAGGTCCGGTTCCCAAACCCAAATTCTGCTTGAAATTGCTCCACAGTCCGGGAGCGCTAGCCTCTTCGCCGCCCTTGTGGCTCGCACCTGAGCCCTCGGCGGACGCGCCGCCGACTTGCTCCGCGAAGCCTACTCCCTCCTTGTTTGCGCCCACGTCCTCCCTATGCGCTTGCGATTGTCGGTGGGAAGACGCCGCATCGACCGGATTTCCGCTCGTGTGAGCTGCATCTGAGTTGTGTATCAGTAGAATGGCCGTGTAGCAGGCGAGCGATACTCACCCTTTCCCGACTTTGTGTTCTTGCTTAGTACGTCCTGAGGACTCTCATTGCCCCCTAGCGATGCGTGCCCTTGCGACAATGAGGGATCATGCCCATCGGACGGACGAAAGCGCGGCGGTGTTGACTGGTAGAGTCGTGCGCGGACAGCCGGAGCAAGACGCAGGATGGCAATTTGACTGCGGGTCGTGAACATAGCGTAGCCGGTCGTGCTTGTAGTTGATGATATGCAGTTCCCGTGCGGCTTCCTGGGGTTCAAGAGGGCAGTGGGGCGACGCAGACATGACGAGATGCAGACGTAATGACGTCAGGGTCAGTCGGTGGAACGGTGTCGACGCTCGACACGGACGTTCGACATTGCTACGCGGTGCCCATGTGCATCCTTGTTCAGGGCGACGTTGGTCTTTGCGAGCGCGGACTTGTAATGGTGGCCACGATACTTTGATGCCAGGTTGCGTAGATTCACCGATGCTAAATGTTGCCAACGTCAGTAAACGGCCAGGTTGTCCTCATCCAGTCAACAAATGTCACGTACCACCAGTTTGTCGGTCTGCCGATGAGGCAAGAACGCACGCTACCGAGCAAATCTGTGTTTCGTCGACATGACTCTCCCGTCCCACGGTTCTTGAAACATCAATGTGAGATTGCAGAGATAGTATGCAGCACTGCGGATGTCGATGTGCATGTTGCGTGGCCAAGCCAGACTCCAAAGACCCAAATACAGCCCGGATCGACGACAATAAAAACCGTCGAGACAGTCGGTGATACACTGCGGTCGTTGGCCGGGTACATGCATTTCATTACAACAAAACGAAACTAAGTACGCTGACTCTTTTGTATTGTGGCAACGTCGAGCTGTTCCATTCGAGCGATACAAATTATACGAGGGTCCTGGAAGATGATACTAAAGAGAGGAGGAGCCGAGGCTTCAAGACGCACTGTACAGCAACAAGCAGCGAGTTACGGACGAAAGCAGACGTGCACGTACGCAACACGTCGCCCGTCGCAGACACGATAGATAAGCATACGAACATAGACATAGACAAGGGCTCTAGTTTATGGGACCGAGAGGGGGCAGAATCGATGTGTAGAGTAGACCGCGACGACGGCCTCCAGGCAATCTACATCATCATCGCCGCGTAAGCGCCGTTCATGTTGCCCCCGCCACCCACAGAGATAGGCGGGGTCATCGTGTGCTGGTGCTTCATCATCATGCCCATCGCGCTCTCGTTGAGGGTGCTCGGCACCTCGAAGCTGCTGCTGGGGCTTGCGTAGCCGCTGGTGCGACTCGCGCTACTGGTGCTGCGGGCCCGGCCCTGGATGCCCATCGTGCCGTCGACGCTGCCGTGGGCGCTGCCCGGAGGACCCGAAGTTACGCTAGCGTTGTCGTCACCGTCGACAGGGGAGCCGTAGACATGTCCGGTGTGCATGCCACCCAGATGCTGCTGGCGCTGGATCATTGAAATGGCGACAGGGCTGGTGGGCGGGTAGTGCTGTCCCTGAGCGTTGAAGTACTGAGAGGGGGCCTTCTCCACCTGAGGGACGCCGTGGACGGGAACTGCGTAGGTGGGAGCGTGCGCAGCGTAGTGAGCCGGGTGGCCAGGCGGGTAGAGCTGATGCGACTCGAAGATCGAGTTCTCGAGCTGGACGGAAGCGCCGGGGTGGGAAATACGGATGGCACCGGCGCCGTTCTGGTATTGCTGGGCAGCGTTCGACTTGAGGAGGGCGTGGGCCGCGACGTGAGCCATCGGGTTGCGCATGCGGTCCATCCTGTCGAGCTCCATCTGCTCCATAGCGATCTGTTCCTCGATAGAGCTCAAGCCTCCCATAACGGCAGGATTCATCTGGTGGTTGAACGACGGCTGCTGCTGCTGTTGCATCGGCATGGGCTGCGACAGCTGGTAGTCGTCGCCGTCGTCGTAGAACTCGCCTCCGTCGTCCTCCTCGGTAAGACGGGAACCCTGGAACGGCAACCAAGCGGGGTCAGCGTCCCGATGGGATATCGAGTTGCAAAAATGTCACCTGGGGCAAAAGGTCGAGCTCAATCTCGCCGGACATGACCGTGGCGAAGGCCTCGGAGCGGGGAGGCTCGTCGCAGCGAGGAAGGCCAGCACGATCACGCCACTCGTTCAGCTCCCGGCGAAGGGCGTCAGATTCGAGCTGTTAGACTATAAGGGAATATCTGATCCGAGTAGACGGTGAAACGGACCTTGAGGAGGCGCAGCTCCCTGGCGGCCATGAGCCGGTGCCTGCGGGAGGCGTGAACGTGAGCTATGCTCGAGTTGACGATGGCGCTCTTGGAAGGGCGACGGATCTGGGACAGGTTTGGAAGCAGACCAGCGAGATCCTGAGCGGTAAGATGGCGATTAGATGGGCTGCCGAAACCGTAGGCGAGGCGGCCGGTCGGCTTACCAAGAAGCGACCGTTGAGTGTCTCCCGGCGCTGGCGTTCGACGGCATTGTGGGTGGCGCGCCGTTCGGCGGTGTTTGCGCGGCGGCTGGGCTTGCGCTTCTGATCTACGGAGGCGTTTGCACCGACACCAGCATTCGCGCCTGATGAGGGGGATCAGAACTCTGAGCGCATCGTTCGCAGCGTGGAAACGCACCGTTCTGAGCGGTTTGGGTGAACGGCCCGTTGAGCGAAGCCTCCGGGAGGGCAAGCGTCGACGGCCCATTGGGACCGGGGGACATGGGTTCCGGAGAATCAGGTGCGGAGGCGGGGGAGGTGCCTGCGGCAATCACGTGAGTGCGATAAGGGGAAACGGGCAGTGCCTGCCGCGTACCGTTGGAGGCCGGCTGCTGTGCAGGGGCGGCAGGCACGGTGAGGGAGAGGGACATGGCCATGTCGATTCTATGTGGGTGAGGGTGGTGGTATGCGGGTTTTGGGTATTAAACGCTAAACAAGGGTGCAATGAGGGTGGCGGCGGTCGGAGGATTCGCGTATCGTCTTAGGGTATTGGGTGTTTGGTGTTGGTGTACAGTGTGGTCGTGGTGGTGGTAACAGGACCAGCGAGGAGTCGTCGGTAGTCGAGGCAAAGTGGTGGGTGGTGAAGCTGGGCGCAAGGTGGTGACGGTGGTAGTGGTGGTGACGAGAGTTGGTGGAGGCGGAGGCGGAAGGCGTCTGCGTCGGTGGGTCAGGCTACAAAGAGGATGAGCTGCGTTGAGCGCTGCAAGGGCACGGACGGGGGCGTACCGAGAGTGAGAAGCACGGTACGAACGTCGGGAGCCAAGCTCAACCTAGTTCGGGGTGGTCGTCGGTGTCGGTGGGCGGGGTAAAAGGACCAGGCGCAGGATCGCGAGCAGAGCTCAAGCGTCTCCGTTGCAAGGTATGGGCTTTGCGGATGAGGGGAAGGGGGACGGAGCGGCCGACGAGCGCGCCCTCGGTGCTTTGCCAGACGACGGGGGACGGTGGGATGGGGTGGGGCCAAAGCCTGGGTACGCGCGATGGCTTGTAGCTATATCGTCGCGACTTGCCGGCCCGTCCCACACCAGATAAGCCCGGAATGGCAACAGCCCCTGTCTGGACATGTGATAGGGCCCGAGCCGCTGATGTCCGAAACTCTAAAACTGCTTTGCGATAGCGGACCTGCTCATCCAACGCCAGCGTCCAAAGCACAGCGCCGCCGCCGTCGTCCGCAGCGAAACGCTGATCGTCGTCGGCGCCACTCGATCCGTCGCGCACACCGCGTCGCCTCGCCAGCACCGCCCAAGCCCCTCCCTCCTCCCTGCTGCCAACGCTCGTGCGAGTCCGACAATGGCTGTACCACGCAACGACGTCCGTTCCCGGGCTGCCTCCCCCGCCGACGCCCTCCACCATCAAAGTATCCGTTCTTCTCGTTTGGGCCTCCTCGAATGCCACGCTGCAGTGCTCGTATCATTCCATCCGCCTTCTCGACGTTCTTTCGCTTCAGCACCCGGCTCGTCACGTGCTCCAGCCTCCACTCCGAAATCAGTGGCTTGATAGAGTATGACGCCTCGACCGATTCCAGTGCTCTGGTCGTCAATGGTTACTTATCGCGACGTTACTACTCTACGCCCCGTCGGAGCTCCTCCTCGGTAATCACCCCTCCATCACGGATTGACCATGATCAATCAACCCTTTGTCTGTCGATCCCGACTTTCCCTACTCACAAGATCTGGAATGCCTGCCTCCTCCAAGCCATCGGCATCAGTCCTGTAGTCCGCGGATTGATATCATCATCCTTCGTCCCGACCACGGCAGCCGACTCCAGCTTGGGCTACATACACTTTCCCGTCCCCTTGCCTTCCCCTTTCCGCCCCTTCTGATCTCGGCTCGGCCATCAAGGCCAGGAACGTTCGGGATCTGCAAAGATATCCCAGCTTCGTCAGACGAAGACAGACGGAAGACATGGTGCGAGCGCATTTCGGGCTCGATATCTCATACATACCTCCAACGTCATCCACGTTCCGCGCAAACGCCACTTCGCACCTCCCCTCGGACCTGACGATAATGTACTCCTTCTCGACATGCCGTCATGCTTCGATCATGGCGTTAAGCTCTGTTCCTAAGCCTTTCCTAAGCCTTCACCCGCTCTCGCCGTAGTTGGCTAACTCGCAGAGTCATCGCCTTTTGCTGACCGGCTACTACCCGTGCCGGACGAACTCTTCTCCCATCGGCATCTTCTCTGCGTTCGTGTCTCGCCACCGGAGGAGATCGATTCTAAACCCGTGCCGACTCCGAATTCAGCCCGCAGGGATCTTGCCTCGCAGACACCAGAATTGCTCGTTTGATCGACTACAATATTTTCTGGTCGCACAGGGCGCAAGTGATATATCCGTGATGATGCATCGGTCAAGTCTTGCTTCGTGCCTCGTCTGGTGTGTAATATAAGCCTTGTACTGTGTCCGCACCCGTCCTCTCTTCCCTCTTCCCGCTGTATCACACGATTCACGTCATGTGGCGTTGCTAGCTAGCCAGGATCTTTATTGGCGTCGCGTTGAGCTTCGTAACTTTATCGCCTGTCGTAAAGCTCTATCTTCCTCCATCATCGCAACTCAGAGAACGCTTCTGGCCCACGGTCTTCGTCTGCACCTGCTTCAACTTGTTTCTGATGAGCGCTCAGCAGCCATTCTCCGAGCAGCGTTTGCAACGATTCCTGATCACGCGACGCATGCCAGAGGCGTCTCCGACTCCACTGCCTGCATCCACTTTCAGCATCTCCTTATTCTCAACAACAGCCTCTGAGCCTCAAGCTGCTATACGCAGAGGTCGATTGGTGTGCCAGCGATCCATCATCGTCGCGCGCCATGCATTGCTGCTACGGGGAGTAGTTCGCCGGTCCGGAGCTGTGTGCTTGTCAGACATTGCAAATCCGAGCGTCCCGCGTGCCGAACCTTGTGGTTGCTAATGAAACCTGATTTGTACGCCCCGTTCCCCCACCCAGCCCAAAGATAATCGTGGCCCTTCTCTTTGCCGAGCGTTTCCCCGCTTCGTATCCCCCCGTTTCATACCTGCACAGTTCATGTGCTATTCGTACGAGGCACGAGCTGATTCTCAATCGAGGCCGGGATTCGTGTCCCGGCTACGTTCAGGTGATCGCTACGTGTATGGATCTCGTTTTGAATCCCTTTTCTCCCATCCGGATCCTCCAACTGTTCACGTGAATCTCACGTGGCTGCCTTCGTCGAGCTTGTGCCATACATGTAATCTAAAAACCCTTCGGCCATTATTCGCTGCCTTGTGCAGATACATACTCACATTTGCGCCAGGACACTGATCTTGGGTATGCTCCGCCTCTCTGCATATGCGATAGCACACCCTCCAATGTGGACACTCCTTCTTCGCGAACCGCACGTTATATGTTTTCCCCATGGACGAGTCGCTCAGGATCCGAGATGTGGCTGCGCACACGAATTGACGACTCGAGTGCCCACGATTCGTAGTTCAAGACCACGCGGCGGTCGCGGAACCTTCCAATCGGTTATGGGACGCGTACAGAGACGCACCACGCGGCAACGTCCACCATGGTATACTATAGTTGTGCACATGGTTCTGTTCACTTCTCGAGTCCCGTCCTGATTGTGGCTATCGACTATCGCGCTTCTAGACTCGTTCTCGACGTGGCCGTACTGCATTTTGCGTGCGGTTACCTGAGGAACGTCAAGAACCGGACCTCTGGACGTGGTTCGCTGCAAGATTCTTTCATGAAACTAGATCGTCGGTCACATAACGCACGCATGGCTTAAGCCGGGATCTTGCGAACCTCGACCCGATTTATTCACTGCTGTTTGACTTCCTTCCGTGCATCATGCACATGCAATGTGAAATGTGTGTGCAAGACTCGCAACGGTGCGATAGACAGCAAGAGGGCATAAAGTCTATACGCGCAAGCCTCAGGTTAGCCCGACGGTACGATGCGTCGAGTCTGTTGCAGCGAGTTCGGGCGCAAAGCATACATGGCACCGGTTATGTCTAAGTAGGAAGCGTGTCTATTACGAAGTTGCATACGGATGTGAGATAGTTGCGATTATTGCTACGTATGAGAAATGCTGATCCAGTGATGTCAATCCAAATCCATCGAATGTGCGTTCCTAGCTACGTTCCGTATTCAACTTGTCGACGACTGCGTCCTTGTGTTGGGGCGACGGCAACGCCCGATACCCATGCCAACTCGGACCAGAGTCTCCAACGACGCACGGCCGTTTACTAAGAGATCCTCGTCCCAATCGACGACTCCCTTCTCGAAGACGATGACGATCGTCGATCCGCCTACGAGCGTGGACATCAGCGAGGACGAGGAGGGTCGATACAGCTGGCCCCTACCGAAGGCAAAATACCCAAACTCATCTCCTCTTTTCACCTGCTGTCCTTCTTGCACGGTGGTGATGATACTACCGACCATCGTTGCCCCGACGCATACCGCCATCACCTTACCAAACTGAGGGCTGTCGATGGGCACTACCTTGCGCGCATTCTCGCCATAAACGTCCAGCCCTGTTCGGATTGCCTGAGGCTATATAATGCATGACGTGAATAACGATGGTTGGTGTCATCGGCAACTTTCTGCTCTGCTCACATTGACAGTATGATACTCTCCGGCAATATAGCTCATGGCTCCGATAACACCGTCGACGGGAGAGTGGAAGCGGTGATAATCTTGAGGGGCAAGGCGGAAGATGGCGAGGGCACCTCCAGCGTATCTCTCGGCCAAGTTGCGATATCCAGGACCGAAGAGCCGCCCTACGGTAAATTCCCGCCCCTTGATCCATAACCGAGTGGCCTCCGACACGGTCTCGAATGTCATCAAACGACAATCGGCGCAGCTGACCAAGCGTGTAGGATCGTTCGGGCTCTCGACGGGTCGCGAACCTGGCTTCAGCCGACGATAGAAGAACTGGTTGAATGTCCCTAAGCCGGTGTTACCAGCATGCCGACAGGACGGGTGGGGAAGGGGCTCACGATATGATTCGACGGGATCCAGAAATTCTTCCGTGTTGAGTCGGTGGAATCGGATGAACGGGATTATGTCTCGAGCCGACTCCGGCGAGTCAAACTTGATGCCTTGCTTGATCGTCATTGACTTCAGGAGCCTGCGAGCTACAGAACTTCAGAATGTGGGCCACAAGAACGATGGATCACACTTACCTCTGGCTCCTTCCATGGTACTCTTGGCACCCTGCGACAAACGTCAGCCTTGCGTGGATGGTATGCATGCTACTGACCTTATAGAGTAGCCGTATGCCAAGACGAACGTAAACTTGCATTTTTTCTTCCTCCAACTGGCCAGTAAGACGATTTTGCACGATGATGTTCGCTGAGTTCTGGGTAGGGAGTTTAAGGATCGGTTCCAGCGACTCATGATGCACTCACCGCTCCCAACTGGTAAGCTCCTCTGGAGACCTTGCCGACTAGTTTCGTATACCATTTTCTCTGGGCTTGACTCGGGGTCACGAAGTTGCCGACCATGATTCGGTCCACGCGATCCCAGTCTTGGCTGGCGCATATCGCAAGGTGTGTGATGATATCCACCTCCGCTTTCTTGCTCAAGCGCGGGCGATGGCATAACGGGCAGTTCTTGACGTTGATGACTCGTTCGAAGATCGGGGAGGGGGGGCCCTGCTGAAGAGGATGCGATATCGATGTGCCGGGTGTCGTTGAAGGAGAGGGGTCGTAGTCAGCCTCCGATCCTGACGAATACCCTTCCTGGCGTAACAATCTCCTGGAAGGAGGCGATAAAACACTAAGATCCGCACTAGCCCTCCTCCGATCCTTGATATTTTCGCGACGCCCGTTCAGCGCGGGGTCACCCAGTACCATCTCACTAGGTTCCGTTGGGAATGTTTGAACCAGGACTGGGGACTGAGCGCTGGGGTCGACGGATGGCCCAATCCCGTCTTCACCGAGGTTTCCAGGAGGACCAGCGAAGCTCATCTTATCAAGAGCCAGACTGAGCCCAAGGCCATCAACCGCTCCTGGTATCGTCGGCGTGACAAATCCAGTGTCAGGAGGGCGGTAATCTGCCGAGTCTACCCTTTCGCGCTCTTCCTCGGGGCGACGCAACTCGTCCTCGAGACATTGCACAGCCTCGGTAATGGTGAGCTCGTCCCTGGCGGGCGATTTCCCATGCGAGGCAAAGAACGAGTCCACGGTGGAGGCCGACAGCGTTGAGCCAAGCGAATCCAGCATGGACGTCAATTCCAGTCGGGATATTGTATCGGTGTCGTCGGCATCATATTGTTTGAGGTATTTGCGCCAGAACTGCTGCCTCAGTGCATCATATGCCTGATACTTGGCCCTGATGTGGACGTGAGCTGTTCGATGCATTTCGTTCATGTGAAAAAGGGACGAACCGGAAGGATAAAGTGGGGTTATGCTTGGCTTCCCAAACGGCTTCCTTCTCGGTCTTCAATCGCAAGTTGAATTCCTTTCCCCGCGCCACACGACTCTTCTCGAGCTCCTCCGCATCGTAAAGCCCAGTCAGCTCGTCCTTTTTGGGAGTATCTCCGAGTAGCTCGGAGACGTTGAATTGGACTTCGCCCACGTAGTCGTTGGAGGTGAGCTTATCCCAGTCCAATACCGTGAGTTGCACGTTGAAGTTCGTTTCGTAACGGCGAACGTGGAACAAAAGTTTCTCGTCCCAGACAGGATTTAGAGAGTGTCGGATTACGCGAGTGCGGAACACCTTCTTGCCGAATGATATGACCACGAAAGGGTCCATGTCCCATCCAGTCCGCGTTACTGCCAAGCGATGAGAGGAGAGTACGAGCTGTAATGATGGATGTGCTCACTGTTCTTAAGGCGAGGTAGATCGGTCGCGCCCTGTATATCGAGCGTGACAATGCCCACTATATCGTTGGCCGCCTCGAAATTGTAGGTGCCCTTCGCCCTCGTGCGCTTGCCCTTCCGCCGCCCTACGACTCTGCCGCTGGCTGCAACCACATCCACGCTCTTCAGGGACCGATTGGTGAAACCACGCATGCGCAATCCTGAAGGCCGGCGTTGCCCCGTAGCGTGAGACGGCGGTGATCGAGCTTGATCGTCTTCTGGAGCTAACGTGGAGGTGTGCGTTTCGGAAGGAAGTTGGGAGTGAGCAAGAGAGGGGCTGCCAGCGGACACGGAACGGGCAGAAACAGGCGGCGCTGATCCGTGCGGAGTTTGCGAAGTTGAGATGGATCTAGCTCCGATCCCAGCTGGGCGGCGTAGCATGCGCGGTAGAAATCCCACTTTTGATGAGGATGCGAGGGGAAATTCTGTAGGGGTTGTAGCCAGGGCAGGGTTTGGTAACGTCTCGGCGCGATGAGGGCGTGGCCGTTGGGTCGATTGTCTCGCTTTGCTAGGTTCTTCGGGGGGTACCAGGGCTACATGGTCGGGCTCTTCGTTGAGAACGTAGGTGGAGTGTTGAGTATAGACGGGAGGTGAAGGAGTTATAGGGATTGGGAGTGCAATAGCGTGCGAGATACGGGAGACAGATTGAGTTGGGGACCGCAATGTATGTTCGCCATTGTGGGGTGGTCCGTAGAGGTCGAGGAGTGGGGTGCGAGGTTGCAACGTCAGCTCGGTGTCCGTTGCAATGTCATCGTCCTCGTAATCTGAGCTGTCCTCGAGATCGTCCGAAGAGCTTAGGCCATCGTCAACGTATCCGTCGCCGGGACTGGACTGTCCTGGGGCGAGCGATGAGCGTACAGTCCCGATTCCCTCCGTCTGTCAAGGGATGTGATGAGCAGCGGGCCAAGACCACAGCGTTGATCGGTGACCTACAGGTGGAGCAGAGACAAGGCTGGGCCGAGAGCGCTTCACGAGCTCAGCGTAAACTGCCCGTATGTTGACGTCTGGCATCCCGGGCACTTGGGTAAAGCCGATCTTGACATCGATGGCACCTGATGAGGTAGTGTTGCAGCGAGTGGAGACGACCGGAAAAGAGAGCGACTATTGTATGGGGGTGTCCTGGCATCAAGCATTGTTCGGTGTATACACCGAGGCACGAACTTTGTTCTGGTCGCTGGCCCAACTGATTTCAGCCCCATCCGCGCCAGCCCCTTCGCCAAAGAGCTCTTCCAGGGAAAGCGCGACTTCTCCCAAGTATTCTTTCCTGAGGACGTCCTTCCTGTCCCACACCACCATCTCGATGACGCCGAGACGATCGGCGAGGGAGAAATATATGGGAAAGTCGAAAGTAGCGTCCTTGGGCACATACAAAGGGCTCCCATTCCTCTTTGCAACGGGCGTCTGATGTCGCTTGCCAAGGACGGAGATCGTGACATAACTGGATTCGCAGTGAGAGGCGTACGGTAGCGTGAAGGAGTGCACTGCTCACGGATCCACGCTCGCACTCCCGTTCTTTCCCGCCAAATCCCTGCATCCCATTACCTGGACCCTGAGGAGCATCGCGGGTTGTTCTCCTGGCAAAGGCAGGAAGGAGGCGCCGCGTGAGGTGGACCGTGTCCCGACGCGCCCGGGAAGACGGAAGGCACGTCGGAGCTTGAGTGCCTTTCTCGGGGCCGGAACCATGGCTGCAGCGAACGGTCGTGGTTCCGCGGTTAGAGCCCGTTAGCCAGCGCGAGTCGTCCGACGCCGACGCACGGGAGGTGTGGCTCACACCGAGAGTGGCAGCAAACAACGTCTGCCAGGTTGACAGGTGGCGGTGCCGCACGCGAGGGCCTTAAAATCAAATTCGTCGTGTATCGGGATCAAACCCGAATAGCTGTCTGTTGATTGAGAAGCGGACGAAAGCAAACAGGGAGTAGCTACTGCGAATCAAAGCGATGATAGCATGCAGATCAAACGTAAGACAGCCTACGAAGCAATGCAGTGAAGAGTTCTACAACGATGCCGAATAATGATAAATGCGCAATGAGGTGGCGTAGGGGCGTGTATGTATCAATATATAAGTTCAGAATCAATCTCGTCCCGATGGCGGGTGCAGAGCATTCCGTAATACTGTCTCCAAATCTGCGATGACGTTCAGATATCGCTAATCGCATTGGAGTGCGATCGTAGGGCGTACCTGCGAGGCGAAGCGGCTTGGGCATGAAAAACTCCATACCAGCGTTCCGACACTGCTCTTCGCTCTCGGACGTTACGTTGGCCGTGAGCGCAACGATAGGTAGGTGACGTTTGAGCGTGCCCGCTACTTCCATTTCTCGGATCCTGCGTGTGGCATCGAAGCCGTCCATGACTGCCAACCGACGTCAACGTTTATATCATCTCAGAGTGGTATGTCTTACCTGGCATCTAGAAGGGAAAACGTTATGAGGCGCGATCGAACAAACGTCGTGACCCACGTACCTGACAGTCCATGAAGCAGCAGTCTACGGTTTCCTCCGCGACCGTATCTACCGCCTGCTGTCCGTCGTTGGCAGTGATGACATCATAGCCAAGGCTTTCGAGTAGCTTTTTGCCCAATCGCTGGTTTATCTGTCGAATGGTAAGTTGAGCGTTCGCTGATCAAAAATCCTGAGCCCTTACCAAGTTGTCCTCGACCAGGAGCACTTTTTTCTTGATCTCATCCGGAGCGATCACCTCATTGGTGCGACGTCCCTCATCGAGTATAGCATCTGACGTTGGAGGCATGATCGCGCCACCAGCGCCAGTACTCGCCATCGGTAGCCGCTCCCCGGCCACCATGTCGACAGTTGTGGTCGCAAAGCGCAGCTTCGGGGGATCCGCCAGAGCGTACTTAAGCTTGTTCCAATGGCACCCCGTGCCCTCCGAATCTTCGTCTTCGCATCGTCGGAGTAGCTCGATGACTCGATTTGCGACAACAGGCCGCTTGACGAGCAGGACATTCTTTGCCTCGGAAAGTGCAGGTTCCAGCGCGGCCAACTCGTCGGCAGTTGAATGCACGACGCAGACGAGCGGGGGACTTGACCCGTTGGGAGCGCTTTTCGTCCTCGATGGGCCCGATGTCAAGACCAACAGGTCGCGAACAGCCTGCGAGCGCATCATGGCGATATCCGTCCATATGATGTCTGCATTGCCTCGGACATCGTCAGCCGAGTCGGTTTTGTGCACCACACGAGTATCGAATCCGTGTTCGCTCCATATTTCCTCGAATAGGTCAGCGGTACGTGAGTGACTGCAGACGACGTGTAGCCTTCGCAGTCGCTGTTTTCCCCTCGATTGATTGGGAACAGCCCCCGCGCCAGGTTGTTCGTCACCCAGCGGAACCTTGACCGGCATCTTGACGACGAATACGCTTCCGCCATCCCGATCTTCACCGGCGACCTCGCTGTGCACCTCGATGGTCCCGCCCATCCGCTGGACGAGATGCTTGACGATGCTCAGCCCCAATCCGGCGCCCTGATGCGGTCGAGTCAAAGAGCTGTCGGCCTGGCGGAAGGGCTCGAATATGACGTCGATGTACTCCGGCGAGATGCCACAGCCGGTGTCACGGATAGTCGCGACCAATGTTCGAGTAGAACCATCTTGCGCTCCGGAGGGATCTACGTGGAAGGCTGCATAGATGAACCCATCCTGAGTGAACTTTTGAGCATTGGACAAAAGCTGAAGACAGAATTATCAGTCGGGGATCAATATTGCAGGCGACTAAGCTTACGTTCGTGAGCACCTGCATATGCCAACTCATGAGACTGAATGGTCAAGCACAATACATGGAGGCTTACCCGCAACGCGTAGGTTTCATCAAGATATACTTCTTTCGGCATATTAGGCGCAACCGAGACAATCAATTCGACGGTATCCTGACATCCCACTTCGGAGATCCGCGCAACGCCTTCAAGCATCTGGCGAGTATCAACGAGGACTGGACGCGCATCCGACTCTACGTTGGCCCGGTCCAACTAGGGCGGCGGTCATGAGCGCATCTGTGGAGAAATCGGATGGACGTACCTTGTTGAAATCTGTACAAGCTCCGTCAGTTGCTTGAAAGGCAGAGCAGGTTGGTCTAACATACCGAGTACATTGCCGGCTATGACATTGATAGCATGGCATGCTTGCTGGATGCTCGTTACGTAAAGCTGCTGATCGGTGGACAACGGTGTCCGCGCAAGCAATTCGGCGTATCCGTTGACTGTGTGCAACGGGGTCCGTATCTTGTTTCAGGGATCAGCCCCCGATCTGGCATAGCATTCGACGGAAAGATGAACCGACCTCATGACTAGCCACGCTGATGAATTGTAATCTAAGGGCATTTGCGCGATCAGCCGCTTCCTTCTCCGCCATGATGCGCCAGAGCCGACGCCTGGTTAGGATAGCTTCAGCCATCCTATTCCGAGCGAGTGTAGCGGAGTTGGCTATGAAAGTGCGATGTTGAACAAAGAGCTATCGTGCAATGCGCTTCACTGCCGCTCACCAAGAGCTGCGTTAGCGACGACTAGAACTGCTACTGCGACGGAGACGATAGACATGGGCAGGAATCGTGGATACCCTGCATGCGGGTCCGGTGCTGCCGTGCTGTGGAACTTGGCAGCCGCCATACCTATTATGGAACAAGTGAAAACCAGTGACGGCGGAACAGAGAGATGAAAATACCAGTATAGTGCATGCCACATACGCCGGCGGCGGCGATGGCGCTCACTACCATTTGGCGCACAAGGTGCGTCTCCATTTGATACATCGCGACTGTCCCGAGAATGCAGACAACGAAGGCAATAAGTGACTGAATAGAGGAGTACAGTCAGCAACGTGGGGCAGGGAAAGGGCGAAAAAGAATACCGAGAGTAAGACGAGGGCGATATTCCACTCTATCCAGCCATCGGATACTTGCATCGCCAGCATGCCTTGAGAAGGTTCAACGTTCCGTCATTGGGGCCAAAGCAGCAACACACTTACCGCAATAGTGCATTCCGACTATTCCCGCGCTCCACATGGCTGCGCGCACGTATACGGCGACGCTGAGCGTTTCCCAATGCTCAATCACCCACCGCCTCCACGGAATGACTAGATCTTTGGAGCTAAACTTTCGTCGCTTTTTGGCAACGACTGATCGTGCGCTTGCACCTGAACGAAGGGCGTGTCGACCTGTTCGAGCCGGGGGGGTCGCTGGGTTCACTGCGGTATGCATCGTACTTGGTGTTTCTGCATTAGACGGCACAGGTATCCTCCCTCCTTCCCAGAATGTGCGACTGGCACCAGGAGATGTGGCAGCCGATGCAGGTGCCGATGCAGGTGCCGATGTCTGTACGGTTTGTAGCAGTCAGGCCCCGGTACACCGACGCAACGGGACACTGCACGATTTCTCACCTCACTTCCTGATATCGTCAGTCCGTCGGAATCCGTCCGACTCATAGGGTAGTGCCGGCCCAAGCCACGTCCCCGCGAAGATGACGAACCCCTGCTACCTGATCCAGAACCGGAACCCGAGCTCGGTGCGGGAGACCTCGACGAGCCCGCCAGCCTGTGAATCACTGTCTTAAATAGCCCCCGACCTCGTCCGTAACGAGATTTGCTTGAGGGGGGCGACAGCTTGGAATCAAGCCGCGATCGAGGAGTTCGCTCTCCCGAAGGTGCCGACACCGACGAACCAGGTATTCCAGTGGGGCGTCGCTCGAGAAAAACTCGAGGAGGATCTCGGCGGCGAGCGGATGGGCCTGGCGTTGGCTCACGTCGATGTGATGGCAAGCTTCGAGTATCGTTTTGCTCCGCAACTTCTGCTTCCTCGCCCCGTCCTTCCTCCTCGTCCCGTTCGTCATCATCTTCCTCTTCCTCATCCTCCATCAGATCCGTCAGCCCCGAATCTTCGCTTGAGTCTTCCGCTGCCTCGCTCTCGCCTTCGGACATCGGGAGAACGCTGGGACCGAGGACAGGATCGGCCGATTTGCCATGTGCGTGCCATTCCTGATTTCTTTCCGTCCCACTCGCGTCTTGAGCAGCCTCCTCAGTCTCCACGGTTGCAAACTCTCTCTCCGACTCTGACAAGAAGGGCTGAGCTTCTGCGTCTCTCCTGCGTCGTTGGCTGCCCAATAGTCTCTGCCACCACGACCGTCTCCCGCTTCTTCGGTATCGCCTAGCAGCTATGAGGCTGCATAGCCAGCTTCGCTTGTTGTGTTTCGCATACGCAACGAGGAATGGCCAGCCTATGCCGATGGAGGTGAAACCAACAGCCACGAGGGCAGAAGCCACCGTCAGAGGGAGCGAGAATTGGACGGGCACTTGCAGGTTCAAGGCGAGCATGCCCACTACACGCGCATAGTAAGAGGGGCGTAAAACACGAGACAACTGAGTGATACGACGTACGGAAATGCATGGACCATATACTGCAGAATCCGAAGGCGGCGCCTGCCATGGCAGCCCAGAGGAGCGCCTGGGATGGAGAGGATGTGTACTTGGCATGGACGATGAGTTGCGTGCCAGTGTAGGCGCCGAGCCAGGAGATGCAGTAGGAGAGAACGACGAGGAGGGGGGACCAGGTGGGGGTCAAGGTGTCCATGGCTGAGCCGGTGACCGTCGTCGGCAACAGCGAGCACGACGGCAAGTCGAGCCGATCGAAAGCGTGGGCATGTTATTGTACGGCTGGTCCTCGAATAGCCTGGCCTGCTGTGGTCGACGTCATCCCGAAAACGAGTTAAATGCATTCGACCCGAACCCCTCCTCCCCTTTCGTCCAATTGGAGGCCCGCAACGTGATCAGTTAGGGTGACAACGAATCAGGCGTTGTACAGCCACTGAAGACCGAGATCGCGATCACTTGGACGAGGCTTCGCTGCGTTTTGATTTGGCTTTGACTGCAAAGCAACTACGATTCCGCGCTACAAATACCGACATCGATACTGCATATACATCCTTTCATTCAGTCAGATTATGCATGGGCGATGACGCCGTCCACCTCCTGTTACGTCTACAGGAACTCCAGATACTGCTTCGGAACAAGACACTTCCCCGCCGGATTCGAGGAGTCTACGAAATAGCACTCGTACATATTGACATCGCTGTGGTCTGCGATTACAGCTACGACATCCCCCGCACACAGCGGGAGTTGTTGTTGCGCGATGGCTTGATAATGCATCACCCTATATGGAGCACGAACTCGTACTGATCCGGTGAGTCGTAAGTCTACGTATACAGCGAACATGCCTACCCCATTCCAATGTACCGCCACGGCCTTCCATAGGTCCCGGTCTAAGAAAGAGCGAGCGTCAATAATGAATACGTCATGCTCAGCAATCGTGACCTTGCCTGGTCTCCTTGTTCAAGGAAGTTGGGAATGCGACGATACCGCCATCCTGAAGGACGACCCCAGAAAGCCATCCATCATTTGCCCGTTCACCTTCTGTAATAACAACGATAGAACCCTCCACTATCTTGAGCACCTTTCCTAAATGTGTCCCCGTTGATTGGACTACGATGTGGTATCAATTTAACTGATGTTGTCGGATACACGACCTGCGTACGCACAGCAGAAAGGAATCAGTGCTGCAATTTGTTCCGGTGTTTTCTTCCTGTAGGGTAATCCATCATCATACAATGAGGAAAAACCAACGTCACTAACTTCATTTCCTGTGGAAGCCAGGCAGGCACCTCGTGCTGGGGTCGCCGTCCAGAACGTCGCCACAACCTAGCGCGCCCCCAATTATCTCCTGAACCGTGCTGCATGATCTCCAAAAAGTCGTCTTCGTGGATATCCTTGACATGCGTGGCTGGTGGATCCGCATCCGTCTCTGGATTATAACTTCTCGAAGCACGCACTGTGATGCAAGATCGATGAGCCCTGGTTGACCGAACGGCTTGCACCTACTGTAGAAGGATATCCCTCTTTCCTGCCCACCAGGTGGCAAGTATTGATTGGTTGGGGGACGCATATGCCGTGGATCCAGACGAGCGGAACTGTCTTGCTCTGCACTGTACGGCACGTACGCAGTCAACAGCCTGAGGTTGAAGCCGCCCACCAGCGGTAGCACTACTCACGTCATCGCCTGGGGTGAGTGTTTGGCCCTTTCTATCTTCATTCTCTCCAAAACCTTCTCCATCGTCGGACGTTGGAAGACATTATAATCCCAACAATCCTTCAGTAATTTATACATCTCCTTACTGAAGTTATGGAACGTATAGGGTTTGATCTCCGGAATCTTCTTCGCTCTCATCCTTTCTATCACCTGCTCGTCCGAATATTTATGCCATGGCTCCTTGCCACTGAATATTTGCTGGCGCATATGAGTGACTCGCTAGATCAGATACATTCCTAGATCATACCAGCGCAGTCATGCCCCATGCCCAGACATCTCCTTTCATGTAGATCGTGGACCGGTGTTCTCGTTTGTATGACCCGATTTTGTTCAGAGCGCGCTCCGGTGGAAAGAACCTCTGCGTACCCTGCCTAAGCGATGTAGTCTCGCGATTTTCCATTCCTTCCAGCGCCTTTGCCAGACCGAAGTCACACAATAACGGCCGTGGTCGATAGCTATTGCCGACGCGAATGGTAGTGATCAAGATCTATACGAAACCCCTGAGTCGTATGCATGAGGGTGATCGCAGCGACGCACGTTCTGGCCCTTCATATCTCCGTGCGAGATATTGTGATCGTGCAGATACTTGACCCCATCAGCAATCTCGACCAGCTTAGTCCAAAAACCAGAGATAGGATAAGCCTTAAAAACTCAGTGCGATGATCAAGGCCACATACGAGGGCGATCCGGTCCACTTCCAGTTCAAGACGCCGACGCATGTACTGAACAATATTCCCCCCTTCGACGAATGGCGAAACCATACACGGAATTCGGCCCCCAAATGCGTCCGTCAAGCCATAGAATTGAAGCACGTTTCGGTGACATAAGCGGGCCCACAGTTCAGACTCAGTGTGCAACCGCTACAAGTAACCTGTATCAGAGCGGCTACTCAGAAGATGGCTATTGCACAAACTTGAGTCATGGCAGCAATATTATGGTCGGGCAAGCCCCGGTCGAAGTCAAGCCTCTTCACGGCCACCGGCGTCCTCTGGTTGTACGTGGCCCGAAACACCGTGCCATACCCGCCAGTGCCAATAACAGGATCACGACCCTGCTGAGGCTTGTTGTAAGCTGGGCTGTGAGTGTCTATACACAGGCTCACTGGGAGTATCTTGCCCCTCATATCCGCATGCGCAGATATCTCGCGCAATCCTTGGAATAGGTGATCCTCCTCATGCAACTGTCCCGAGCGAGCCGCCATGTTATTCAGTGTCCTAGAAGGGATCGACGGCGTGTATATAGACTCCTAGGTTGAACGTTGACAAAGAACCTTGCAGTAGCAGGATGGCTGGATCGCGGAATGGCGCTAGCTAACACGCAAGATGCGGCCAATAAAGGAAAATGAGTCTGCCGACTCATTGCCGCTCCTTCGCGTCGGAAAATGATGGACAGCATTGGGTGCGCACCTTTTGCAATACACGCACGTAACCCGATACCCAAAGCGGCAACATGAGTCCTGCGGCGGAACATACTTAAACGCATGCTGCCAGTCGCAAGTTACCACAGATTTAACCAATGCAAGGGCAAGAGAAAAGAGAGTGAACTAGTCAATGCATGTCATGACACCAACGCCAGCCTCGAGGCTCAGGTTATTGGAAAGGATTGAACGGAAGCAAAGTCACGAAGTACTTTACGTACATAATAACAATGTTAACGTCCACGAACTACGGCAATCTCATTGACTACATTCCCACGGTCATCAACACAACGGACAATCACAAAGCACGCAATTGTCACTCCGGGTCGAGCACAAGACCCCGCAAAAGCCCTGATCATGAGAAAAGCAATACATGAGATGACGACACTATGTAATTCAAACAAGCCCACGCATCGTCCGCGACCTGACAACAAGATAAAGTTAAGTTAGTACTATCAATAGATTGGTCAATAAGTACTTACGCTTCAATGCGATGAAACTGTCCACACACGTGATATTATCCCTTTCAAAGATGCAGACTTCCCCTTCAGTCTAGCCGTTCTATGAGCACCTTGCCTGCGGTTTGCCACTTTCCTTCGATGTCTCCGCGCATTGTCCGGCAAAAGCAGGTGCGCATTGCCGCCATCCAAGACGTTTCTAATGCGGGGCCCCAGAAGCATCAGAGCAGACACCGTCGCAGATGGCGAAGATACACCGCTGCCAGAAACCCGACGAGTGAAGTAGAAGACCCCCGCACCCGAAAGGCTCCCAGGCTCGTGTGTCAAGTCTGCGGAAAATAGGTGTCCACGTATCAGCCGCAGGAGATGTGGAGAACCTCAATTAAGTGAAGTTGCGAAATATTCTGTATGCGCGGTGTTTGCTCACGATGACCACAAAGCCAGCACGTTCACGCTTCGTTACCTTATTCAAGTCTCAGATGAAGACGGCTATCCCTTCTGTCAGAGAATTCGAAGGGTCTGTTGTTGAGTCTCCTGTGCATTCTACAATCTTCGGCTATTCCCTCGCCAATGTTCTACCACGCGGAAACTACTTGATTAACCTCGGGACTCCCTACGCGTATGTGAACAACGAGCGGTTTATATACCGACTCTGATAGCCAGGCCAGTGACAAACATGTCAAGTCTCGTCTTCTGGATGAGCTTCAAGTTGCTGCGAACTATCCGGTACTCGGCCGTATAATCTTGACTGATCGATTTCGCAGTGGCGTCCCTCAAACAAGAAAATGGGATGCAATACCTCAAAGGCAGGCATCTCGATAACTCAGAAGTTCCATTTGTTCCAAGCAGGATCATCTCAAGAACATTTCCCAGTATGAACCCTTCCACCACGATCGCATCCTCAAGCGAAACGAAGGGACTGACCAAATGCTCACGCGGAGAGATAATGAGGTCTTCGGTGTTACGTTCATTCTAGGTCGGGTTGGATTAGGAAAGAGTACATGGCATTGCATGTACGCGCGTATTACGATGACTTCGCGTTCGGTTTATCCTGCAGTCCATGGATCCATCGTGAGGGTGTCACTCAGTGCTCGTGGAAGCTGAACGTCGGCGCGTGCTCTTCAGGCAGTCGACACAAGGAGGGGAGATCCACATATTGAAAGCATATATGTTCGCGATACAAACAATCTATATACCATTTCGGGTGCAGCGAAAAGGAATCCTGTAGAAGGCAACGAAACGGCACGAGCGATGAGTGTTAATCGCATTCCCTCCAGACCAGCTGGGACCGCCAAGGCTATGGAGGCGGTGGTGGCGTAGCAGGGTTGGGCTTACCACCTGCGACAGATAATTGTGACCCGCCCACGTTGAGCCGATAGAGGGCATCTTCGCACAGGATCGTGTCAATGTATGCCTTGTCGTTACCGGGAAGTACGCACCAGCGAGTTCATCAGGTGAAAGATCTGTCGGCACCCATTCATCTGTTCTCTCTGCGTCCTCCCGTTCGGTTTCACTGAGCAGCGTATCTGAAACCCACTTCACATAGGCCTCTCTCGCCGCTTTAAGTCTGGCCTTATCCGTGACAATGCATCTGGGGAATGGGAGTTGGAAAAGGACGAGAGGAATTTGTTCCAAGGTCGGGACGACATGAGTCGGTAACTCGACCCTGCCCGCTTTTGCCGAGGGTTCGGTCGATAATCTCATCTCTACTCCAATGTCTAACTCGATAGAACATGGCATCAGGTCACCGAGCAAACCCGTGAGCTAGTCACTGACCTGCCGGTTCGGAAGAGGATCGCGTGAATCGTGGACTGCTAATCTTAGCGGTGAGGGATGCGGTCTGGGCAACGTAAGACAAAGGATATGAAGGACACAGTGGGACACAAACCCGTATGTCCGTTAGCAAGGCAACAGATTGCACCTTGCAATCAGAGAGCTCAGACTTCAACGCTGGATAGTATGCTGTCACGCCCGACAGCGCCAGATTTATTTCCCTCGTCTCGCTGATCACTCTGCGTGGCTGCGTTGAGCGAGGGGTCAAGCGGCATCAATCAAAACCTACTTGGCCAGCCTAGTCTGCAAGTTGTGCAATTCCTTTTTCATGGTTTTCTCGATCTTCTCTGCATGCTCGTCCAGTACACGCACAGCGCATATCTGGAGCTCTTGCACTGCGTTGAGTTGCGCGACTAAACGCCATCGCAGGATATTTCCTGGGGCGTACGCAACTTTGTTCAGGAGATCGGATTCAGATATAGACATGACCGGGACGTCTTGATTGAAAGCGAGGGTGGTTAAACGAAAATAGATATGGATGGCGCAGAGGGTAGATGGCACAGGATGGGGTGGCCGATCGTGGGTTGGGCAAGAGTGGTTGCCACTGGGGCACCATGAAGTAGGAAACGCAGAATGCTGTCCGCGATGACGTGGGAACATTCTCTGATCGTTTAAAGGGATGGCACCATTGTGCATGCAGTGGCTTCGTTGTCAACGTACAAAGTCCCCATGGGAGGTCCCGATTGTGGATCCACGACGCAAGTACAAGTACGAGGCACTTTCTGGTCTTTATGGCGAACTGGGACGGAACTTCGACGATCACGTGAGTCCCACGTTCAACACCGTCGCGTCCGGGTTCTGCATGTTGAGCTAACATACCTCGGTACAGCGGAACCAATGCCTCCTCAAAGGCGCGGACGTCAACGGAATGCACCTACCCCACCAGCTGCGGCTCAAAATAACTCGTATGTTCCTCCGGGACGCAACGTACCGGACCTATTGAAGCCGCTAGGTGTTCTGTACAACGAGGAGATGTTTTGGCGAGACCACTACGACTGGTTGAAGGAAAAGGGCTACGAACTGAGGTCTAGATTCTCTCCTAACTGGGTGCCGTCATGGTGGGGCACGAACGAATATTGGAAAAGCAAAGAGGACGCCCAGATGTCACCGGCAAGTCACCAAGCATATACTCGTCGTTCATTGGATTCTCATTATTTTCCTTAGCGGACGTATCTCGCTGATGCGACTCGCTTGTCTGACGGTGCCCACGTTGTCATCAAGTTGATTTATCAGCCGGATCATCCGCACGAAGTATCGATGTCCCGTCTCATCGGCATGGGTCCTACGGCGTGCGATTATTGCGTTCCTGTCTACGATGTGCTTCATGTACCAGAGGAGGAGGACAGTTATCTCTTGGTTATGCCTATCCTACGCGATTTCGACGATCCTCCTTTTGATACGGTTGGCGAAGCTCTGGAGTGTATCCGTCAGATATTCAGGGTTTGTTTGTTCCCTTTCGCACCTATCTCTGTCTGAAACATATCTCAGGGTCTCCTTTCCATGCACGAAAAACATATAGCGCATCGGTGCGTCGGCACTGGTAGAGTCCTGTTGTTACTAACACGTGCTCAGGGACTGCCACGGACGCAATATTATGCTTGACCCTCGACCAATGTATCCGGATTCGTTCAATTTCGCGAATCCTCAGAGGCGCAGGGACTATTCGGCCCCGTTGGAGCATCTTTATACCCGTACTCAGCGCCCCACGCGATACTATCTCATAGACTTCGGCAACGCAAAACTCTATGACCCGTCGATGGGACCACCTCTGGATGTCCCTTTCCAGGGTGGGGACAAGACTCTTCCAGAGTTCAATGATTACGTTGGTCCCTCCAACCCATTCGCTGCCGACGTATATTACATTGGCAATTGGGTTAGGCAAAGTTTCATGGATGTTCGTCGCCTCTTCGGATTCTTGTCGATGAAACTGAAAACTTCCACCAGAGGTACCGCGGCTTTGGCTTCCTGAAGCCGCTCGTAGATCGCATGGTTCGCCGTAGACCAGACGACAGGCCGTCTATCCACCAGGCCGTGGCTCACTTGGACGATATCCTCAGCGAAATCCCCACTCGACGTTTGCGGTCACGCGTCATCCTCAAGTGGGAAGTCCCTCTCTTTGCTCTCGGGACGATCTACCATCATTGGCGACGACGAATCACTTTCATGCGTCTCCATGTTCCAGCCCTTCCGCGGGTAGAGGAAAGTCATGCGTCAAACAAACCGTCGTCCATTACACCGGAGGCTATACCCCTCCCTCCTAGCCCGCCAGCTTCACAATCCTCCCGACCAACTTCGCCATCTTGATCTTTTGATGCCGCTTCTCCATGCTCCAATGCGTCTTGTTTGCTATGATGTTCGACGCTCGCTACGAGGATATTAGGCATACATTTGCCGCTTTCGTTTTGCTGTCGTGTTCAAGGATGATGAAATGTTTTCGTTATTTGGATGTAAATTGTCATAATGGCTATCTTTGAGCGCTTGGTTGCCCAAGAGATTATCTGCGAAGTCCGTCGGATCATAACAACAGTTAATTAGTTTCCTAAGTTTCTACTACACGTTTTGGGAACGGAGAGCAACCCATTCGTCACGCTCGCAATGATCCTTACCGTAACCCGCAATGCTCAACAGAACTCTAGCATCTCGCTCCGTAATTTGGTAGACTGATATGGGTACATCTATTCAATCGCTGATTTCGGCAAGCAGCTCGTCATCGTCCAACAGAGCGTCGATAAATATCTGACGAACATCGGCATGTGAAAGAAAGCATCAGAATAAGGCTCACAGAAGGGTCATCTTCAACGGTGGTCGAATAAGTGACGGTCTGACTTGTGTCCAACGTTGTACGCCCTCGTTGCAGCAACCTATTTGCTGCTTTGGAAGAATTGGATTTGCGCATCATCGCGGCGGGGAAAAAGCCGTACCCGAGGGGTCCGAGAAGTCTACACCGTTCATGTCCGCCCTCAATTGTTTCAGTGCAGCTTCATCGTCATCGCCGTCAACGGTGGTTATTCTTGAATGAGATAAAACGGATACTGCCAGTGAAATGGAGTGAATCGCTTTGTATAGAGCGCAGCTATACATCACATATCTCGGCAGCAATGGTATGGACGCACCGAAAACGTCCGAGGAGACACGCGATTTTTCTACCGCTACTCTCAGTTCATCCCAGTCCGGGTCCGATACTGGAGGCCGCATAGCACCAAGGTTAGCTTGTTTATCGGCGGCCTCGTTGCCCTCAATATTGGCGTGGCCCTGTACACATTGCAACTCAACCTGATTGTCAAGGGTAAGCAATCACGACGCAGCTGTACGCATACTACCATGACCTGCTGTCCAGCGTCCCGTCGGGCTCGCAATAAGGCGGACAAATATCGAATCACTGGCTTGTTCTTCACGGGGCTTTCGATACTGGATATCCACCCGTTGCTTTCCCATTTGGGCATCCAATCGTTGACACCTGGTACGGCGAGTTGAATTTTGTCAAGGGCCTAACTCTGGTCACACACAGTTGATAGAATATTCTGAGTCGGTCTTGATGAGCAACGGCGCCGTATTGAAAGGAGTTTCTTCCAGGATACGTATAATGGCCTGGGGCGTCACGAAGCCGAGCGTCAGTCACTTTCGGGAAACGGGTCCAGCGTCCAACGCTACTCACTATGAGTTCTGCACGAATGTTGGTTTGGGCACCGGGACAGCGCTCAGCGAGGTTTCTACGCGACCGGTGTTAAGCCACGAGGGATACGTAATAACGCAGCATACCGAGGGTCTTCCGGGCCCCACCATACTCCAATCCCGGCAACAGATCCAGGATTCCCGTTGCCCGTGCACGCGCCATCGCAGTACACGACGTCTGCAGTGGGGACAAGTGCACTATTTGAGGCAGGCGTCAAAGATATGTTGACTTGCGAAAACCCGGCCGAAGGGCTTGAGTCCGATTCGGGCGGACCGCGAAGATTAGCCAACCTTGACTGGATGCTTGTACCAGTCGACGTCCCTGAGTTGGTCTCAGCTCTGGTTTGCTCGAGCGGTAGAGATAGGGGATTTGCAGAAGTGGATACGACCGCATCCGGGATAGACAGATGGTTCTCATCCCTTGCAACTGCGGTCACTGTTGATACTGCCGTGTCCTGGATCGCTCTGCCATCTTCAACGTCCACTAGCTCCACGTCGAGAGATGTTGATTCGTACTCGATTTCAAGCGCTACTCTCTTCGCATCCCAGTCTTCTTCGGGTAGCTCAGGAAGCAAGGCTCCGAGGTTCGCTTCAGCATCCGCGCCCTCGTTGCCAGCGATGCCTGCATGACCTTTCACCCATTGGATCTGGACCTAAAGGCAATGACAACACCGTGAGCAGCCTGCTCATCGTCGCTGACATAGAGCGCACCTTCTGTCCAGCCTTGCCCCTTACGGCAAGAAGCGCGAGGATGTATCTGATCACTGCTTGATTCCTGACCGATTCCCCCTTCGAATTTTTCCAACCGTTCCTCTGCCATCCGGGTAACCATTTATGCAGACCTGTCTCAGACCGGGTTGAGAAGAGATTAGTTAGCTGGGGAAAGGAACGCCCACAATCCCTCGAGTAAGCCGAGTCTGATTTGATGAGCAACGGCTTCTTGCTGATTGGTGTGTTCTCGAGAACGCGGGCAATTGCCTTCGGGACAGGTCCACACAGTCACGAAGCAGCATTAGGAATAAGACTCACAATCAACTCGGCGCGATTATTGGTCTGGTTGCCGGGACATCTTTCCGCGATGTTTCTGAAACAGCGAGATCATGTGAGCACTTCAGATATATGAGTGTCGGCGAGAGCAAATACCTGGGATCCTGGTGACCCCACCAAACCCCGATACCCGCATAGCTTCCCTTCTGTCCGTTTCCCTTGCATGCACCATCACAGAAGACGACATCCCACCCAGTTTCGTCTTCAATCTGTTCGTCTCGGTGTCTTGAGGAACTTTGGCCTGACAGGGGTACGGAGGATCCTGCGGCAGGACTGGCCCTCGAGGACGAGCGAGAAGAGCGATGGTACGGCGCCGCGCGTTGAGGTGGCGGGTTCGAAACGGGTTCAATTTTTGGTCCTATCATTGACGCAGGCCCACCATTTGCGCGATACCATTCTTCAGCCTCTGCCGCGTTGTACAACTTTTTGTATCTCGCGCCGGGCCATCCTTTCACTTGCTCCTCCGCTTCCGTCCTGGGATCGTTTTCAGTGAACCACAGTCGGGGAATGGCGACCGGAAACTTACCATGCCGTGTATATCCCTGGGTTCCTCCCTCTTGGTACCGCATAGAATGCCTGCTTTCCCGAGGCTTTTGGCATGAAATATTTGCCGCGATTGGACGGGTAGCGCTGGAACTTCAATAGAGAGCCAACAAGCGTCCCGTATACCCCAGTCACAAGTCTGCCCTTGGTATCCCTGTAGGCAATCTCAGTAGATCCGTGCGATGTCCAAGTAGCGATACGGAATCGCAGAGGCCTGGCAGATCTGGGTATGTAAGCCAGGATGGTGTCAGTATAGCTGTGCGTTCTATTGAGTCTGTAGTATTCGACGCGCTTTGACGGAAGGAAGCCACGCACACGTGATTTGGCCACGTGAGATTGACAAGACAACAATGAAGGCGATTTACTGATGTTTGAACTCCAAGCTTGACCACACAACACGAAAGGTTCTTGAGAAGGCCACGTCTAAGATATATGTAACTATGACCTTCACGAACTACTGCCCTGATGTTCCACCACCAAGTCGCCCTTCGTGCACATCGAAGTTGCGTTGCGCTTTATGTTACGTCAAGCTGTCCTGTTTGCACCCTGTTTGGCGGCACCCACATCAATACGTACAACGTTCACGTTCAAGTCCCCTCGCAATGTTACAGCAAACCGCAAGCCCAAGATAGCATTCACTCATCCTCACTCCCTATCGTCAAGCGATCTCCCACCCGTGCAACGCGACACATACTCTTGGGCGACTTCCTATGTTTCTTCTACACGTGTGGATAAGGAGAGCTAGCTTTGTCTCCGTGAAGATATGCAGCAGAGATTATCTCCCAAGGACTGGTTGCGGCATCAACCACGCCCAGAGTATCGCATCACCAACTAAGTTGGGATTTGTTTCTGCACGGGAATTGTCAGGGCACGGCTCCCACACTCGCCTCATGTCTCATTGTTCTCCTTTTCTGCTTCCGCTTCTGTCCCATTTCGTTCATTTCCCCTAATACTTCCGTCTCCCTATTCGGTCGCGCTCTCCCGCGCCCTCCTAGGCTTCCCGCGCCCTCCTTTTGGCATCTCCCCTATTTCGTTCCGTCGCTCGGCGCTCCTAGGGCCTCCGCACTCGCCCGGCCTTCCTAGGCCGGTCCACCGGTCACGTGTCGGGCACCCGAGGACCCTCCCCTTCTCTCATTGGACCATCTTTCGTTGCGTTGATGGATTACTCATCTACTATATAGTCGCCTGTCGCACCAGGGAGCAACCCAGACTTGTTCTCTCAGTTGCTTCCCTGCCTTGTGCGACAGGTATGTGT